ATAGGAAATAGGCTATAGGTAGAACAAAACAAAATTCACTTGTTTTAATTTTAATGTAGGTGGTGGACATTTCTTTTAGAATATTATAGTACAATCTGGATGTTTTATAATGCACGCCTACTACCTAGTTATATAATATGATTACTGATTAGGTGCCTATTCTGAGTTTTCTTTATTTTTATTTTCTTGATAACTATCAAAAGCCTGTATTTTGCAGTGTTATGTTCATTGTAAGATCCTATTAAAATTTAAAAGTAAACTCATTTATTTTATAAATCATGGTCAATGATATAATACAGGTTTAAATATTACCATAACGGGGAAAAAAGGCCAGAGTTCCACTTTAAAACTGCAATACTGAACATTTTACTAAATGGAATATTGACTATTATTATCCTATTTCCCCGTAACCCTTCATATGTATAAATTTTTATTAGGTATTTAGTATTTTATAGGTTTATAATTAATATATTTTAGATTCTGAGTGGAACGATGAATGTATTGATTTTACAATGAAGTGTTTTTTTTATATTTTTTTATTTTAAATTTTTTATTTTTTTTTGTGTCTGTCATCACGTTTTAGGACAGTAAAAGTGCTTGGATTTTCTTCATCAGTAGCTTTTCTGATAGGAAAGTGAATCTAGTTGGTACTTTGGGGGGGTCAAAAGTATAAATTTCCCAGTAGTTTTCACAAGCGCCGGGAAAAACAACATAAAAATTAAGGAAAAACGGGAATTTTTACGCAAAATTGGTTTTTCAAAAAATCGATTTTGGTTATTGGTGTAACTCTAAAACAAATGAACGTATATACATGAAATTTTCACTGGTTGTTTATATTTGCATTTTCTATACACGATAACATTTTCAAAATATTTTGATTTATTTTGAACTGTTTAGGGACATTTTCATTTTCCATTTTTTTTTAGTTTTTTTTCTAAAAATATCAATAAAATTTTATTTGTTGGTTGCAATAGCTTGAAAATTTAATAGAAGGCTCCTTAATATATTGTTTCAAAGGCAGATGAAAAATATTAAAAATCCTTAGTCACAATTTTTTTTTATAAGCATTTAAAGTTCAAAAATTGTAAAAATATGGAAAAATCACGGAAATTAGCGAATTATTTTGAGTTAAGAATTCGTAAAAATTTTTCTTTTTAAATCTAAGATTTGAAAATGAAACACAAGATTCCTTATAAGATTATCTACCTTTATCAATAAAAAAATCTCTACCGGACAGTCAAATTAAATTTTTATGAGCGTTTGAAATTCAAATTTTTACAACATTGGATATTCACTCGATTACTCATGTAGCGATTTCCTTATTTTGTTGCAATTCAAAAACGAACAACTGTAGATACATGAAAATTTCACTGAATGTTTAAATTAGCATTTTCTATACACCATACAATTTTGAAAATATTTTGACTCTTTTTGAGCTGTTTATGGACATTTACAGCTTTCAATTTTTTTTAGTTTTTTTTTCTATAAATATCAATAAAGTTTTATCTGTTGGGCCAAAAAGTGTAAAAATTTAATACAAGGCTCCTGATATATTGTTACAATAGCAGTTGAAAAATATTAAAAATACATAGGCACAGTTTTTTTTTATAAGCATTTAAAGATCAAATTTTGACAAAATTTATCAAAATCTCGAAAATTATCAATCATTGTAATTAATAAATTATAAAATGTTCAGTTTTTATAGCTAAGGATTACAAATTCAACACAAAGGTTCTCATAAATAGTTCATACTATAACCAAAAAATCTAAAAAATATATGAACACACTTATTTTTTACAGACATTTTAAATTCGAAATTACATACCTAGAATAACTATTTTAGTTATTTTGTTGTGATTGAATAATATTATTCGTGGGTACTTGAAACTTCAAAAGTGTACTATTATATTCTATGATAGTATCACGATTTTTGTTGATGTATAACGCGTTATAAGTATCTAATGGATATTGTGATATGATTGATTTGGAATTTATTATAGGTACCTATTATAGGTCAATTTTTTGTTTAATACCATAGATATATATATATGTCTTATACATAGACTGACATACCGTCACCGCTCAGAATCGTTTTTCTTATACAATGATATTATATCATTGAATTCAAATTTAATACCATCCATTATACAGTGACCCACTTGTAACCTACTGTACAGCAGAGCGACACCCACTTGCCCACCTTTTTTATTTTTATTTTGTGTCTTTGTACACGATGAGTAGTCGAAATAATGCTTCGAATTTCAACTTCAGTATCTTGTTCGATTGGAAAGTGAATATCGTTAGTGCATTGGGGAGGTCAAAATTTAAAACTCCTAGTAATTTTCAAAAGCGCCAAGAAAAATTAAGAAAAAACGGAAATTTTTGCCCAAAATCTATTTTTCACAAAATTGAATTTGGTTTTTGGTGTAACTTTAAAACAAATGACCGTAGATACAGGAATTTTTCACTGGTTGTTTATATTAGCATTTCCTATACACTATACAATTTTGAAAATATTTTGATTGTTTTTGAGCTGTTTACGGACATTTACAGTTTTCAATTTTTTTAGTTTTTTTTTCTATAAATATCAATTAAGTTTTATCATTGGGATAAAAAGTGTAAAAATTGAATACAAGGCCCTGATATATTGTTATGATATCAGTTGAAAAATAAAGATACATAGACACAATTTTTTTTTTATAAGCATTTAAAAATCGAATTTCGACAAAATTTATCTAATTTAAAATTGAATAATTATTTTGTAGTTAACAAAACAAGATTCCACGTAAGTAGTTAATTCTGTTACCAAAAAATCTAAAAAATACATAAGCACAATTTATTTTTATAGTCATTTTAAGTTCAAATTTGGACGAAATTACATAAAAAAAAAACCTAGAATAACTATTTTAGTTATTTTGTTGTGATTGTTGTATAATATTATTCCTGTATACTTGAAACTTCTAAAGTGTACTATTGTAATATATCTATGATAGTATCATGGTTTGTTGTTGATGTATAAAGCGTTATAAGTAGGTACCTATTACCTAATGAATATTGTGATATGATTAATTTGGAATTTATTATAGGTAAATTTTTTTTTATACCATACATAAGTTTATAATATGTCTTATATCTAGACTGACATACTGTCTCCCTCAGAATCGTTTTTCTTATATAATGATATTATATCGTTGAATTCAAATTTAATATCATCCATTATACAGTGACCCACTTGTAACCTAGGTACTGACTACTGTACAGCAGAGCACCTTTTTACAAATGTAGGTACTTTTAATAATGAGGTGTATGGGGAATGTGTGCTTGTTTTCTGTTATGTTTAATAACAGCATTGTCGCCGATGTCAATTTTAAATATTTTCAAACGTAAAGAGTCCGATTACTTTAGCTGGTTTCGATGTTTGTTTTTGATGCCCACCATTGCCGAAAATCCAACTTCACACATGTATGAAGATGAGAATCTATATAATTAAAAAAAAATGTTCGCGTCCTACCAAAAATTGACTGACGACCCACACTTTGAGAAACGCTGTATTAGAGTAAGCTTATTCTATTTTATGGTTTATGAAGTAGAGTTAGAATTTGAATAGAGATGTGGTTAGGTAAAAGTTCGTGACTGGCGTATTTACTATTTAGGATATTTCATGATGAGGGCCGAGGGGGCAAGGGAATAAAGGATGTGAATTAAGTATTAGTAACTGGTATTCAGTAACAGGGGTGGAGTGGGAACCAAATCCTGGCCGGGAGTTTAAAATGTACCATCCCGGCCACCCACCAAAATTTTGTTTCTCGCTACTCTCGAATTTAATTTTTCTATTATAAAAGTATTTCAATCACTATTTAGATTTTTCTTTTAACTTCTGTCTTCTAACACACCACTAAGTACCTACTAATATAGGTACCTGAAAGTCTGAAAAAATAAAATTAGTATGTATGGTTTAATAGTTGAAATCAACGAAATATTAATAATTATACATTGCGTTTTAATTGTTTAGGTATATAGTAGGTATAAACAGGGCCGTATTTAAGGGGGGCAACGAGGACATTTGCCCCGGGCGGCCAATTTTTGACACATTTAGGGGGGTTATATAAAGAAAACTTTTTTTTTTTGGTAAGAATTTGTTGTTTGAGTACCTCTTTGGCTCTATACTTGGACTTTTTGCATTACATGACTATATGATACGGCCATTTGGCGTCATTAACTCATTTTGTCAATCAATTATAACTGTTCATTTTCGTAATTTTTTTAAAGATTAGGTATAATTATTGTATATGTTGTTATACATTTTGATAATAATTAAAATAATGTATCATCGTGATCTGTGTACTTAACAGAATTATCATAAATAAAGAACTACAACTAAACAATTAAAAACGGATAATTTTTTTTTTTTTGGAGGAGGGCGTACACATATTGTTGCCCAGGGCGCAAAAATTGTCAATGCGGCCCTGGGTATACCTTATACCTAATGAGTAATAGATAAATAGGTACATACAGTATAAACAATAGAATAAAAAAAGGTTTATACATTCATAATAATAATTTAGATAATAGCTTAGATTTCTTACCAACTGCATTTATGATAATCACGGACTAAGATATACAGGACTGGACACGACAAGGTTGGAGGGTGTGGCGGGGTTGACTACGAAATGTTGTACAACAGGCGGAGTTCGGGGGGATATTTTCCTTTTAGCATTACTAGCGCCGTCTTAGTGGATACTTTTGGAACTAGATGACATTATCACCACAGATAAATAAATACCACGGACTAATTCTTCATTGATTCAATATTCAAATTTCAAATTGCGAATACAATTTACTATAAATTAGGTATAGTAATATAGTGTTTAATAATTTTAATTTAATTATACTTCTTATAGTTATGTTATAACCAGGCACCTAGAATAGACAAAAGATTAAAATAACATTATACTGTAATTACTAATTTGTACATCTTTATTACTAATAAATAAATAATTTTATGTTTTTTGAAGCTTTGATAATTTTTTTTTTTTTGAACTATTTTGTTTAAGCTCTCTGTTATGAGTTAATGTAAATTGTTTCATTCTCATTAGTATATAGTTTTGGAAGATGGTTGTCAAAATGGCAGATTTGTGTTGTGGACAAGGAAAGTTTAGCAAATCTGAATGGTTTTCTAATACATAATCAATTGTACTGTTGAAAACATCCATTCCTTGTACATATTTATTTAATCCATCTTCAATTGCTGTTACTAATTTAAATAAATAATAATTTGGATGTATTAGAAAACCTTTGCTTTTTATTTCTGTGAGTGCAGCCTGAGGATGCGTACCAGCACCTAAACATGATTAAAGTGAAATTAATAACTATAAACTGTGAGGTATGATATAACTTATAAGTAATAACTAAAACTAACGATATATATGACTACCTTTTAAAGCAAATATACACTTATCACATTTTGTACGTTTTAAAACTTGTCGGCAGACATAACCACAAATGTAATAAATAATGCAATCCTTTACTGTTGATTTTATTTCATTGCAATAATTATGGTCCTGCAATATAATATCATCTATTGGGTCCCAACTTCCTTCCTCTACAAGGTAATCTAGCTTATCTTTTAGTTTCTTAATTTTTTGTTCTCTTTCTGACTGCTCTTCGCTAAACACTTCTTTTAAGTCATTAAATGTTACTTTAGGTAAACTACAATCCAAAATTTCACAATTCCCAGTTTTTGGTGGTCTTAAGATTGAATAAACTGAAAGAAGCCTATACACTTGAAGGAAAGTTGGGGCTGTGGGATGTTCATTGGGTCCGGTTGCTTGTCGCACTGTTCCAAAGAATTGCTAAATAGTAATATAATAATTAAATGTATGTGATTATCTTTTTATTAATGCTTTTAAATTACCTCTATACGATCCTGGTTCATTTTATTTGTTAGAACATACTTAAAACCAATGTCCTTCAACAAATGATTTGTTAAATCAATAGTGGAACGGATTGTTACGCGAAGTCCTTCAGCTGTACTTCTTGTTAAAAATTCATTCTGAGTTATATTACCTTTTTCAAAATGACTTTCCCACTCATCAAGCCAGCTCAATGTATCTTCTAAAACCTTAAGTTAAAAAGTATAGTTAAAAATGTAGTGATATGAAGTATTGTTGTAAAATACTTTAAAATCTTGACTGTTGATTCTTATTCCTTCCTTTGGATGTTTACGATTTAAAGCATCAAACAACGAATTAAAAATTGATGTAAAATCTTGTGTTTCTTCACTATCTTTTAATAATTCAATGTTCTGATGTTCTCTGTAAAATTTGATTCCACAGGCCATTGCATTACTAAGCACCTGTTATTAATATTTAGATTTACAATTATTTACTGTATTAGTATACATATATATATATGTATATTTACTAATAAGTAATATGTAATAAAACTTATCTATCTATACTTACCTGTGTTGATAATTTCACTGACATCTTAGAAAAATTGTCTAAGTGTATGTGGCGTTGTGAAATTTTCGGACAAATTCGTGTAGGTATTGACATATTTTGTGAAACATCTAGTTTATATACTGTATTGTAGTGCCACCAACTTACACACGGTTTATTCGGATGAACCTATGTAATATTAAATACATTACATATATTATAATATTGAACACAAAATATAACTTTAAAAAACTTTAATGATAACTTTACCCTTAAAAGTTTTTTCTCATAGAGTCTATTCCTCACACATTTAATTAAATGCGGAGCATCAGAAAACATATAAAGTTTTCGATTATCATTCATTGGGTGAATAATGTAGTTATGACAGTCACTTTTATTACCAGTAATTCCCAATTCAGTCCACATTTTTCGATTTGTCTGTGCCCCATCAGATACTACACCATTAATTTTAGCACCAATTGTCTCTAGTAGTGATATTGCTTTTATGACTAATTGAGCTAATACAATACCTAAAATTGAATTGAATAAGTTATAAATATGGTACCTAATTAAAATAACAAACATTCAATCTAAACACTTACAGTTAATCACATTTCTTTTCCATTGAATGATGTACCAAATCTAACACATTGATGACTGACAAGTATCTAACAACTTATATTATAAAACAATCTAGCAAGTTTTGGTTAATAAGAGCAATTCATGCAGGAGAAAAACAAACAAATAATTATCCTAATATTTTCTACTATACTATACTAATATTATACTATACCTGAAAATCATACACTATAATACTATACCTGATACATTTCCTTTTGAAGCAAATACTCCTATCGGTTGACAAAAATTTGATGACAAACTTTGGAACATGAAAACAAGACCATGATTTGCTTTTGAACATAAAGATGGGTTTTGTGAAAATTCTTTCCCTAAATTTTCTAGCCCAGAGTATGTCAAGGTACTTGAATTAACACTGATACTCTCGCGTAGCATTATCTCATCAAATAAGAGCATTCCATATTTTTGTTGATTACTTAATAAGGATATTTTCTTTTTTAATAATTTAAAAAAATTTTCATCAAATCCACATTCTGATTTTACAACCGAAAGATATCTTCTTATTGTTCGTGGACACGGTAATGGAAGAATTTTTTGTTTTCTTAAAAACTCATAAGCACTTGGAGATCTGAGTAAAAATAAAAATTATACAATCAAAATGAACGAATTATTGAAATAAATTATACTACATACAAAATACTTGCCTAATACGAAAAAGAATGCATAATAATATCCAATTTTCTGAATACTTTCTATTTTTCAAATTTGAAAAATGACTTGCCATAAAAATTTCATTTATTATTGTTTTTTCTGATTCGTTTAACTTGTTATTGTTAAAAATAGTTTTTAAAGTGTTAGTAGTCATTATCTCCATTTCAGATTGTATTTTCCCAAGTTGACTACATAGATTTGATATTCTTGACTTATACCTAAGTAGATTCCTAATTAATTAACTTATAATAAATAAATTATGAATAATTTTTAAAACCCCAGTTATTACAAAATATAATTAATTTTTTTTAAATATTTTATTCAAATAAGTCTACAACTCCCAAAAGTTATTATATTATCCAAAAATATTAAATTTAACCTTCTATTTGATTTTCTTATGATATTTTTTGCCTTTAAAATACCACAATACAGTTTCTTTCTAGTTGGAGTTAGTGTGTTGGATATGTATGTTTTTTTATGGTTCTGGCTTAAGTTCAATCTGTATTTTTTAGTTCTAAATGAATGTAACAACTTTTCACATAAAATACATCTTTTTCTACCAGGTTCTATTAATGTAGAACATTGCAAATGATGCCAAATTTGGTTTGAATTTGTTTGTCCATTTTTATCATAGATTCCTATAAATGATTATTAAGATAATTTAAAAATCATTACTAAATAAAAAATAGAATTATTGAATATACCCGGATAATTTATTTTGCTTGGTCCACCTAAGCAAATAAATTTCAAGAAAAACATGTTTAGTACTTTTTCTATATCTTTTGTTTGAAATGGATAAGCTAAATTAAATAAACATTTATCTTTAGCTAATAATTCATTAATGATAAAATAATTAATATTTAAATCTGGAGTGAAAACTATTTGTTTTTCAATCACTGTTTTGGTGTCTTTGGTGTTGTCATATTTCAAAAAATAAAAACTTATGGCAGCTTCATCACAAAAATAGTTCCAGCCTGGTGGTATATTTATATATTCAAGATTATGTTTTAATGTCATAAACGAATCAACCAACTTATTCTAAAAAAATATATAAATGAGATTATTAGATTAGGATGGTATTAATTGTATATTATATTTTTATACTTAATATTACTTCAAATATTATCGTGCAATATTAATAATAATTAATACTGAAGTCATAAACTACTTATAATATATTATTATCTTATTGTGATATTGTTATTAGTAAGAATAAATATATATTATTATATTTTTTTGTTAGATACCTCAGAGTTTATTAATACTTCATCAATATCCTCAATCTTTGGTGTAAAATCATTTTCTTCAGACACAAAAAGCTCTCTTCGACATGTATTGCCTTGTGTTGGTTGAAATAGGGTCAGTACATTAGTCTGTTCACTTTTTAAATCCTATTATTTTAAAATTTTAAATAGATAATTTATGTATTAGCAGTATTAGGTATGTAAAATAATGTTAATTTCAATATAATACCCCTGTGAAAGTTTCAGTAACAATTTCATTTTGACTGGTTTCGCCAGTTTTGTTTAGGTTTACATTTCTAAAAATTGATGGAATTGCGTTTTCTTTTAAATTTGGTTTTAATCGCTGTGGTATATTCATATTATTCTTTATATAGTACCATTGAATATGATAGAATTATAATATGATATTATTAGTTAATCGTCAGTATTTAATTACAGTTTCTCAAGTTAGATACATACTTTATCCTCATTCAACTCATTCCACCATGAATATGAATGATTTATATACATTGGATCAAAATGTTGTTCACAAATATGTGTCGGTTTTGTTATTTTAACATTCATTTTTGAAATAATTTGTACCCATTCATTCCGGAGGTTATTACATTTTGGAAATTGAAACAGTGAAAATTTCTTGTCTTTACTTGACTTGTGATTTTCACAATCAACAATACAGCAGACATTAACCATTTTAATGAGCAATAAGAAATTCGTAAAAGCAAATAACACTAAATTAAAATGAAATTGTTACGTTTGCAAATAATTATTAATTAATAAGAGAAGGGTAATCAAAATACTATATATAATCATACTATAAAAATATATTATACAATTATTAATAAATTTATAATAATGTGATCTAGTTATTAATAAATTTGTAATAGTGATGGGCGATTCGAATCGATCTTTTAAAAGATCGATCTTTTTCATGCGATTAATCGATTTTTTGAATCGATCTCTATGGTCCGATCTTTTATGTGAATCGATTCATTTATGTGAAAATCGAATCGAATCGTTGATCCGATCTTTTAGGTGAATCGATTCATTTTGTGAATATCGAATCGAATCGTTGGACAACGGATGTTGTCCCATATCCGATCTTTTATGTGAATCGATTCATTATTCATTTTTGATTCGATTTTTTTACAGTGGTGACAGTCTCGTACGCACTTTACCGTATAATTTGTGGTCATTTCATAATGAATTGGTGTCAAAAAAAGCCTCGGAAAATTCTGAAGAGAACAATGAGCGTATGCCAACAGACCTAAAACATTTTTATATTATTATTAAGGACCTAGGTACAACACTTTCCAGTGTATACTGTATACGCGCTCCGAAATCAAGAGTACTCGCCAGGGCCGTATTTCCTCTTTTTGCGCCCTGGGTTAAAAATATTTGTAGCCCTCTCTTCCCAAAAAAAGAAAAAAATGAATATATAATATTATTATTATAATGCATGTGTTATAATAATATTATGTATGTTCGTGCCTTCGTGGAGATCATGAAAATTTTGTTTGTCGTGAAAGTATAAAAAAATCAAAAATATTTGTGTGTACCCACCTAACCCTGCAACCACTACATACATTTTATTAATTTAAAAAAAAAACATTTTAGCTTTATACAAATACAACAACTATAGTACTATAGACATTAATAGGTTAATACATCAACATGTATGTTGGTGTGTTAAAACAAAAAAAAAATAGGGGCGCTGTCCAAATATTAGGGAACTATAATTTGTCTAGCCTCGACCAGAAATTTAAGTCTGCGCAAGCCTATGCAATTGGCCTATCATAGGGATGCAATGCAAAAAGTACAAGTACGAGTATAGGTACTCAAACAAATTCTTACCAAAAAAAAAAAAAAGGTTAATTATATAATATACACCGGCGCCTGGCCGTCTCCTAAATGTGTCAAAAATTGACCGCCCAGGGCAAATGTCCCCGTTGCCCCCCCTTAAATACGGCCCTGGTACTCGCACTAGTCGCACTGGCATTAATTGTATGGAGTATGGAGTATGGACTATCGAAAACCTTTATATATTAATTGTTATGACCTCGAGCGTGACAAGGGAGAACTAGAGTAGGTATCACGCGGCATTTAGTGATTAAAAAATTTCCGATTTTTTTGGATCGATCTTTTGAAAAATCGATCTTTTGCGAACGATTCATTTAGAGATCGATCTTTTTTTCCCGATCTAGATCGATTCAAAAGATCGATTCACTTTCGAGAATCGCCCATCACTAATTTGTAATAATGTGTTATGTGATCTAGACATCTAGTTATTAATAATAAATACATTTGTAATAATGTCATCTAGTTCCAAAAGTATCCACTAGGACGGCGCTAGTAATGCTAAAAGGAAAATATCCCCGCGAACTCCGCCTGTTGTAAAACATTTCGTAACCACAATATTCATCTCGTGTCCAGTCCTGTATATCTTAGTCCGTGATGATAATATTATTATCTATTTCCATGAGATTTTTATTTTCAATGGCCATTAGCATAAAAATTAAAAGATACACGTATTATACATATAGCCACACAAGTATAGTATTAGCATTGATATAAAGTATAGGATATTTAATCAATGGTATTAGCAAGCTTATATATAACATTAATAACAATCGATTACCTAAAGGCGGGTTTCCACTATACACGTTTGCCGTGTACACGAAAAATGTTCAGCTATGTCCAACAACACGGTATCATGGTTAACCGTGTGGTAACTGATCGTAAACAACCAATCACAGCAAATGATTTGTATGCACGTACTCGCATCCGTGTATAGTGGAAACCCGCCTTAATACCTAATGTTTGCAACACTCGTAAACATAAAGGTACAAAACAAGTTAACCATACATACATATTATATAGGTAGGTTAACTACTCATTAATAGGTATAAAGGCATAAAGCATACCTCTGCACTGACGCAAAAAAAAAATTGATTACTAAATAATAATAATAATAATAGTTAGTCACCGCAGGTAAATAGGTCACCGCCGCCTGAAATGCCCTTGATACTCATCAGCATAGTTCATACAAGTGAATTAACATTTAATATTAATTTAAAAGCCATTATTTGTATTAATTTATTCCACATTAGGTATTTAGCGGTACGTAGCGGTTTGGATTGATCAAAATACAGGAGACCTTGGTCGTATAGGTAGTAGCCAGTATAAGTACCTATGTCACGGTTTTAACGGGAAAAGTGTGATAATTTGTTGTCTGTCCTCCGGCGGCCATGTCATAATAATCATTAGTATTTATTAGCTATAAACCTGGTTATACAATATTATAGGTACATATATACACTATATATAATTGCCCATCGGGGCCACAACACCGAGCATTGGCATAAACCGTGATAAATGCTAATTCGAACAGGATAACTGATGTGTTGGTCGCAGTCAATGTCGAGAGGGGATAAGACGTGACATAGTGTTAGTGGATCCGTTTCCCTTAAAAATACAATACGGTTTAAATCATAATTATTATTATATTTATTCAAATGCGTGTTGACATTTGTGGTTTGAATTTCGTATCCGTTTGATTTAGCGTTCCATGAAATTCGTCGACATTTCTATGGATTTACATAACCACAAAAGTTCGGCAGTTCAAAATCTGGCATTAACCCAATTGGGATTGATTTTTTTGTTGTTTTCCGCAATTGATTCCGCGAACTATAAAAAAAGTAGTAACTATACTTTCGCAAAGTCCGCCGCAAACATGTCCATCAATCCCGTAGTAATATCTTCTTCCGTTAAACAGACGGCCACTGTAAGTATATTATTTTCTTAAATATTTTGCATTTAAACAACTGTAGTTGAATAGATTATCAATTGTGTAACTTTTGTGTAAAATGTACTTGGGTAGCTATAATATTATTTTGTTGACCCAAGTAAAATTGATCCTGGTGTCTTAACTTCTTACAATGTAATTTGTTTTTCACCCGATCAGTCGCTCACAAAGCTGTTTTGTACATAAGTATTATTTATTTTTTTATACATGATAATTGTTAGTACTTTGATTACATTTCTTTGTTTTCAAATTAAAAATTATTGTGAAAAATCACTAACATGTATCTGATATATTATTATACATTTTAGTATTCTAGTATTAGATTATGTGTTTTTATACCTATTAATTTAAAATGTAATTAATTGTACATTTTTATCAATAATAATCTAAATCATATACCAATAACAAGTACCTTATTTTAATAACTATTTTTTGTTCACAGGTCATATTTCTTCATGGTCTTGGAGATTCAGGGTACAGTATATTATTTATTGTTTTAATTTAGCTAACGGATGATTGTATTCCAACAATGGTACAACTATGTTTTGCGTCTATTAAATAAAAAATGAAACTCGATTAAAATTTTAAAATAAACTTCTCTTGAAAAAGTTAATCATTTGAATTCTTTAGATTTTTATCAGGTATTGACTCTAAATATAATAATCATTTGGTGTACCTACTTACCCATAGCATTTGTTATCTCTTATTCTGTTTAGTTAACTATTTATTTTATATCAAATTAGTTTGTTATTTATGTTTTTAGACTTAAATTATTTAATTAATATATTCTTAATTTTTACTTAGAAATGGCTGGGCTGAAGCCATGACACAAATAAGACAACCTTATATGAAAGTTATATGTCCATCTGCGTAAGTTATTAATGCATTGTTTTAGTTGTTTGATATATCTATATCTAATTTTTTTTATACAAATCAACAGGAGTCCGATGCCAGTATCTCTGAACCAAGGTTTCCGTATGCCGTCATGGTTTGATTTGTTTACTTTAGATGAATCTGGTCCAGAAGATGAAAATGGAATTAAAGAAGCTGCTAAATTAGTGCATTCACTTATCGATCGTGAGATTGAAACTTCCAATGTGCCATCATCTCGTATTGCCCTTGGTGGGTTTTCACAAGGTGGAGCTCTTGCTTTGTACTCAGCTTTTACTTATAACAAACCATTAGCTGGAGTTATGGCTTTATCTTGTTGGATACCATTACATAAAACTTTTCCAGCAGTAAGAATTATTAATTAATTTCTATTTTTGATAAAATATATTTATGATGGCTTTTCAGGCTGCTTTAAGTAACAAAGATATGCCAATAATTCAGTGCCACGGTGATTGTGATCCAATTGTACCACTAAAATGGGGTCAACTTACAGCATCCATTCTTAAGTCCTTTGCTAAAAATACCGAACTGAAAACATACCGAGGTTTGATGCATAGTTCATCTGATATGGTATGTATTTGTTATTAAAACTTATTAGTTAACAGCATAACAATAATTATTCATAGAATAGAATTTATTAAAATATAAATATGTAGCCATGTAGGTATGAAGAAATAAAATATTTATATTTAAATTAAATTAAATTCATCCATATTTTGTTTGTATTTGAAGTGCAAATAGAGATAACCATTATAATTTATAATTGTCTAATTTGTGATAAAAATTGTTTTATGTAATATTTAGTCAGATATCTAAGTATGATGCAACTATAGCCCATTTTAATTACTTTACTACTTATTAAGAAGTTACACAAGTGAAAGTCAAACTTGATGACTATACGCTTAATCTGATTGGATGATTTAATGTTACTAATAACAGTAATAACTTATTGTAACTAATTATATTGCATCCGCTTAATATAATAATTATTTTCGTAAAGTAGATTTCTACTTTATACAAAATATCAATATCCTGATGAATATTTAACTTTTTTTTTTTAAAAGTATGTAAGTTTCATAGTTTTGCTAGGACTTTTTGATTTTCTTATGCAAGATAACAATTCTTGTCAACGTCAACCCAAAATGGCAGTAATTGTTTGTCTGATGATGATTTATTTATTATCACACAAACCTCAATTACAACCACCACATGTTTAGTACTTAGTGATATAAATTATTATTCATTTAATACATGATATTATATTTGGAGGAATTATTTGGCCCTATCCACTTTTACTACACTCGTAAATTAATTTCCAATTAGCTCTTGTAATATAATAATATGTAAAAAAAAAAATATCTGTTGTATTGATTATATACAATACATAATGATATTCTAACAATAGCATTAATTTCATGGTGATGTATTGAGTTACACATTATGAGAATATTTTGAAAAATATCTATTGATTTCAAGAAATCTATTCATAGTATGTAAAAAAATGTATTATTCACAATATTGAAACTATTATTTAAGTGGACATCTACTTTACAAAAATAACAATTTCAAGTTTTATCAAGTAGATGTAACATAATATATACAGTAAATACTAAATAAAAGATAAAAATGCGATGATACAGGAATCAAAAATTTAGAACTTTGAACTATTTAATAGCTTTAATAGATTATCTATATATGTTTTATAACTTATGAAAATATTTAGTTTTTTCTTAAGAGAACGCTACCCATGTCTCTGTCTTACAAACATATGTCATATTTTCTTCCATTAATTTCAATATTGTGCTGTTAGTTTTGATATTAGAGTAAATTGACCTATTATCAAACTTTTAGGTAACACCATTATCTGTGATTAAGTGTCAGCAATTTGTTCAATATTTTAATTTTCAAGCAAGAAATAGGTACATGAAATGTCACAAATAAAATAAATACTCATACCTCTCTTGAAAATTGAAATATCGAATAAAAGCTGATGCTTAAGCACAGATCAGATAAAGTTCTTACTTAAAAGTTTGATAATAAGTCAATTCACTCTTAATACCAAAACTAACATCACATTATTGAAACTAGTGAATGAAAATTACTATGTTGTATGCATGTAAGAGTCCGTTTTACAATCATAGTTTAAACCTTGGTTACGCTTAACCCACTGATTTTACTGGCCGAATTCGGTGGTTTAACCTTAGTTTAACGAATGTAATACGGGCACTAAGACAGATACAACAAATGTATGGGATCCGTTCTCTAAAATTTATTTAACTTGAAAGTTGTAAAAAATAGTTGAACTCCAATATATAACATACTGATGGTTATATTTCAAAAGGGTCTAAGCTGCAACTTTCTTGGTTTAGAGAGAGCCGAAAAACCATTTTTTTGTGGTTTAATAATTATTTGTTTTAGATTAGCAATAAAAATAACTATTTTTTGAATAGGAATTGGGATTTTTTTGTATAATCTTGCATAATATGGAAATTTTAATACAATATTTTTTCATTTTATAAAACATTTTATCACTTTAATTTGTATTCATTTTCTAGTTTTTTTACTCATATGGTAAGAATAACTTTAAAAATAAAATATTAATTGTTTAAATAAACATCTTATTATAATATAATATTATTATTATTTTCTAAAAAAAATACTTAAGATTTAACTAATGGACTATTTATATTTTACAGGAATTAAAGGATCTTAAGAAATTCCTGGAAACGGTCCTCCCTTCAGTGTAATTCACCTATCATTTTAACATAAATTTATTAATTTATATTGTTGACACCTAGATTATGGTTTTAATATATATATATAGGTATATACCTTTTTGTAGTGTATCTAATTAAATTTCCAAGACAAGTTGTTATTTTTATTGCTATATTTAGTGTATATAACATTCATGTTTTTACTTCTTATTGGCATCTTTATAGTTAATATACAACTGGTATAAAATGTACTTAATAGTTATTAAGTAAAATAAGTATAAATTAATATTATCAATTTTTTTATTTTTATTATTATGTGTTAATTTTTTTTTTTTGGTATATAAAATATTCTACTTAAATAATCACAAGATTCACAATTCAATATTAAAATCTTTCAAATTTAACTGCATAAGACATTTAATAACTATCGATTACTTATAAAAATAAATAAAATATATAATTTATACTTATCATAAAAAAATATATATATATTGTACATTTACATTAAGATTACTTTACATTAGTACTTCTCAGCGTACATTATGCATATGATGGTGGGCAGGCCTATTACCTATATAGGTCACTGTAACGTTATAAGCTCAGATGCAGTAGCTGCTTATTTAACTATATAACATAATAATAGCATATTGTGGTAAATCTTCTGACATGTTTATTTGCCAAGGTCTTATCAACTGAGCAGTCTTTTCTTATAACAGTTATACGTCATGATTCATGACAATAATTTAAGTTTTGTTTACTGAGATAGCAATAGTGTTTGGCATTATCTAGATACAAATATGTTTAAAGTTAATAAAATAGAATGATTATATTTATTTTCTAGATTTTTATTGTTATATTTTAATGATAATTTAAATTTCATGTCAATTGTAATATTCTCATATTTTTCTTATTCTTAAAAAGCTATACAAAATTAATAGAAATATGGTCATGGAGGCTGATATAATAGATATGAGGATTGATATAATATAACATAAGTCACCTAATGATGGTCTGTGGATGAACTGGATGACTATATTCCTTTTCTACTTCAGCATTAGTGTTAGCCTGGCCCAATGCCGCTGAGCCTTCTTTTTTTTTTTATCGTACTTTTTTATTTGCTTGGAGTGTTACTGTCTATATAGGAAGTAAGAACTCTGCCAAATATTTAACTCTACATCATTTTTATAATACTGGGTAATTTACCAAGCATGCTCATTGTCTTTTTATTCAATAATGGACATAATATTAAACATTGATTTTTTTAAATTTTAAATATACCTAGGTACCTAAAGGCCATAATATTTTAAAATTCTTAAGGAGATACAAACTGCTGATTTTTAATAGGAATCCCTCTTTTCTACTGTATATAAATTACAAAGTTAATTATAAAATGGACAATTTTTCTAAAAACGTTGATGAAATTAATTCAAAATTCGAACGAGTAGTTTGTCAGTTATTATTTATTGAAATATAATATGGCTATAGCCCCCACATATTCTTACAAATCCATCATCATGGACTTTTAATCCTTAGAATACAAAGTAACTCGTAAACTACTCATTGAAATTTTTATTTTGATATGTCAGCATTTTCAGAAATACCCACTAAATAATTTACAGTAGAACAGGGGCTCTCAATTGAAAAATATAAGTTTGTATTTCCACAAAATACTCTTTAAATAGTACAAAAATCTTAAGAATTTGAAAATATTATGGTCTTAAGGTACCTAGGTATATTTAAAATTTCTAAAAATCACATGTTTAATAAATCCATTATTGAAGAAAAAAGAGGGTGATCATGCTTGGTGAATTACTCTGTATAAATAATTTATATTCAGACAAATTAAAAAAGAGGGTGAGTACTGAGCATACTTGGTTAATTACTCAGTCTACCCAACCTGTAATCAATTTAGATATGTTTTTCTGTTAATTATGTCTGATGTCTAATCACAGATAAAAATATTTAAATTGTTGATCATAGGCCAAGATTGATTTTATTTTTCGATGTAACTCAATAACAAATAACCTTGGATGTTTTAAATTATCTCCAAATGTTTTTAATTGTTTGATCGTAAAAATGTGAATATTATTTTTAAGTTAGAAATTTATGAATAGTTTACTTTTCCAAACTAACATCCGTCAACTTAATAGAAGATTCCTTATAAGGGTTTTACATTTGACAACAAAAAAAGTTTACAGAAAGGTAAAATTAATTATTTATGATCATTTGAATTTAAAATTAATGTGACTGGATTAACGAATCAATTGATTTTTTTATATTTTGTTGTAATTTATAAATTAATAACTAAGTAGTATTAATTTTACTAAATGGTTATATCATCATTTTCCACACATGGTAAAATTTTTAAAATATGTTGACTATTTTTGAGCTATTTATAACTATGATAAATGTCAATAAAAAATAATTCACTGGGTAACTTGTAAATTTCATCCATGGTTCTTCATAAGTTTTTATAATAAGACTTAAAAAATGTTCATCATATAATATAGGCTTGATTTTTTATAAAAGCATTTTAAGTTCCAATTTTTACAAACTACCAAAATCGCGAAAATTGAAAATTATTTTCGAGTTAACAATTTTATATAACATAAAATATTTTTTAGCTAAGGACTAAACATTTTAAATAATGTTTCTCATAAGTACTTCATACTGTAACCAAATAATCTAAAAAAATATATATAAACCAGATTTTTTTTACAGATATTTCAAGTTTGATTATTTTTGAAGACGAAATATAATAGGTATTAAAACGATAAATAACAATTTTAGGTATTTTGTTGTTATTTAAATATATTAGTCCGTGGTTGTGGCCTGTGGGTACTAGAAACATTTATAGTGTATATTAATAAGACGTGAAGTCGTTTCTTGTAATTTTGTTTTATTTTCCGACTGCTTATCGGGTTTATTTACACTTGCATAAAAAATAATTCACAGAAATGTAGAAAATACAGTACACCATACCATTCTACCATTGTCCATAGAAGTATATTTTTTTGTTGTTCGATAGTCGCATATGCTGCGAACGATAAGTGGTGATTAGTAATTAGTATACCTATCAGAGCGGTACAATTACCCCGGCTAGAACATTTAGAAAACAGACGTGGTACTTAAAAGTAATACCTATCAAAATGAGAAAACTTACCTTAACAAAAAAAAAGGTCAACCTATATCTCCCCCCTCGTAAATACGCCGCTGTACAAGAGGCAAGTGCGAGGATTGCAATGGGGACCTAGAATTTACAATGCCACCTTTATAAAACACTAAGGTCTAAGATACAAAATGTAAAGCCAAATAAAACTACCGGTAGCGCTGAAAACATTGGGTCCCCCGCCGACCATGTTGTTCCATGTTGTATAATTAAGTTGTGAACATCATAAACCAAACATGAAATAAACGAATTGAACAAAGTTTGAATCATAATAATTAATAATATAGACTATGACTATAGAGTTGGCACTTTTAACGGGCAACGAATCAGCTAGTTTAATATAATATAGTGTTGAATGCACGGAGAGAAGGTTTACACAAAATCAAATATTATAATATAATTAATATTTAGAATAAGCATGTTTGTTACCTGTTAGCTACTATTTTAGTTTTGAATGTAACACGGCGTCTCGTGTATGCAATATTGATACACACGATTGGTTATTACTGTTATTAGTTTATTACTTATTTCTTAGGTATACCCACGGCTTAAGATAAACCGTGCCATGTACTAAGGTGGGTTTTCACTATACACGTACTCGTTCACGTGCATACAAATCCTTTGTTGTGATTTGTTGGTTATGTTAAGTTGCCACACGATTAACCACGATCCGTGTTGTTGGACATGGCTGAACATTTTTCGTGTAAACGGCAAACGTGTATAGTGAAAACCCGACTAAAGCTGGGTTCACACTACCACCGTGTCGTGTAAAATCATCATGGTTACCACAGTTACCAAGCGATGTTTACCAAACAATTTTTATGGTTCAGAATGGTACTAGTTACCATCTTGGTATTAACAGTACCGAACCGTAGTGTGAACCCGGCTTTAAGATATATTTTAGTCCGTGTCCCGTGATAATCACGAACTACTACATAAGACTGGACACTCTTGGCAGGGAGAGGGTGGGACACCGGTCACAAAGTTGTACGGGGATGTACGTTTGCGACTGTGATGCTATTTAGTGACGTGCTAGATTTACTACATTTCGAATTTTACTTTTATAAACATAATATTATTTGTATATAGACTTATGAAATATGAAAAAAAAAATAAATCGATTAACATAAATATTTCTATATTTCTATGAGTTTTTTTGTATCTTATTAATATTGTTGTACATCATACATTCATACATTATTATTACATTATTTAATATGGGTCGCTTGTGCTCGATATTAATATGCGACTGTAGAGTAAATAAAAGTAATTATAATGAAAATATTACTCTACTTTCAATACACCAGGAGGATGAATCTATCCGTGAATTATGGACAAGTATTGTTAACCATTGGAATGGTAACAACCAAAATGTTTCATACTTATATCATAAACATTTTAACGATGAGAAAATCATTAAAACATTTGAAGGGCAAAGTAGTGATAGTCATCAGGTAAATAATTAATAATTATAACAGAAAATCTCCACGTTTAGAAAATTGTTAGTTATTAATCAATACTAAAATGAATCATATCTTCTTCTTCTTCATTAACTTCTGCATCTTAACTCTTTGAGACCTTTGGCCGCCGCCGACACCTCCTTCCACTCTTCTCGATTTTGCACTTTTTCTTCCTAATCCGGTATCCCTAGTTTCTCTAAGTCCTACTTCATTCCATCTATCCAACGCTTCTTTGGACGTCCTCTTGGTCTAAATTAATCATATACATACTTTAATTTAAAAGTATTTGGCTTTTGATTATTTGATTATTTGATTCTTTATTGCTTAGCCATGGGCAAACAGGAGTAAATTTGTTTTAAAACGTGGTGCTATAACATCAATCCACACATTAAATACACCAAAGT